ACGTGACTTTGTTCAGACCGCTGCCGTGCACCTCCTACGCTTGCCCTAACGTGACCTTGCTCGGACCGCTGCCGTGCACCTCTTACGCTTGCCCTAACGTGACTTCATTCAGACCGCTGCCGTGCACCTCTTACGCTTGCCCTAACGTAACTAGTCAGGTGTGATGAACAATAACAGTAACCTCCACTAAAACCACTGCAAATTAGGAAAATACGACACATGCTATCTACGAACAAGTGACGAACCTTATGAATAGAGACCGTTTCACTAGCTACGAGCTCATGGGCCTCAGTTCACAGGCACGCGTATAACAATGAAAACGCTGGGATACCATTTGCGTAGCACATAAGCAATTTGTGTCACTGCGAGCCATGTCTTTTTGCACATCCCAGATGCGTTTTTGCTCGTCTTTGTTATGTTATCGGAACTTGGACGGTGTCAGACCTTCACGTCCGCGACACGCAGGGGATCGTGGGACTATTGCAGCCAATGGCAAATGCCCACGCAGTGTACAATATCCACCGTTAGTTCGTTTTATCGGTGGCCGGACGAGATCTGTTCATCGGGCGCCAGGCTACCCAGCGGCCCAATCATGGGACAGCGAAATGGCAGACAATGGATGGACGCCTGCTTGAAGACATCAGCCGCCGCGCCGAGCTTGCCTGGATTGAAGGGTTTTCTTGTCGAAATGGGAGTGATATCTAATGAGTTTTCCAATTGGACGAAGGCGAAAGTGTGCTGTGTTTGCCTCGTGTGTACAAGAAAACGGAACTTAACAGCAGGCAAACAGTTAATTATCATGTTCGTCGCCAGCCATAAGTTTTTCTGCTTTATGTTTCGATGCGGCTTGTTATTTGGTGGACGCCAACACTGATAAGAATGGCGGTGTGCTCGGTATTATCCTTTTGATGTTTTATGAATTATAACCCCGCCAAGCTGTCGCTTCTCGAAGCGGCCATGTGCGCCGATACATGCGTGGTCCGGTGTACCGTCTGATGGGCCTTTTCAAGCCTATGATTTTTTATGTCGTGTCGTGCGGGATAGTCTAACCACAAAGGTAGCTATTTGAGCTGCCATCTAGGGTCCTAAAATAGAATCCTGACGATACTGCACCGCCGTAGCCGGGAAGGAAGCCATATCGGTGGACTCCATCAGTGTGAACAAAAGCCAGTTGATGCAAGTGCGAATGCAATACCACTACCTGTTTGGTATTTTGACTACATTCTTCAAACGCAGTGCAATTCAGCATTGTGGGAGTTGAGAATGAAGCCTTGTAAACGTGTGGAAGGCGGATACGTGTATATTGCACGAGCGCTAACCACCGGTAATAGGCAAGTCGAAAATGGAAGACGTAAGGTAAGGTGGAAGAAGTCAAAGTACGTAAGTTATTTGATGTTAACGAAGTCGTGGTATTTTTCCGCACTTAACAGATCTGTCCTTGCAAATCTATAGCTCTTTTCACTCAAGCATTCTTAGACCAGGGTTTAATGTGATACCAAAGTTGAAATGCAAGAGATCAAGGGTAAACAGGAGTGGAAGCCATCGTTCAAGTCTCATGTCGCAGAGACCCCGGGTCGTGAAGGTATTGAAGCGGTTGACATCCGTTTTATTTAGCTTTGTCGTTTGTTGAAAATGTTTCTTTTTCATTTTAATTGAATGGCGAAGATAAAATTGTTACATTGTTGCAATGCTGCAGGAACTGGCCGCCCGATGAAAAGTTTGCATACATATGACGAGCAATTATACAGCCCAACCAACATCTTAAGTTCTGCGCTTCGCGTTTTTGAAAACTGCGTGATAAAGAGACAGAGGAAAAGAAAGAGAGGGGGGGAAGAAGCAGAGAGAGAGTGAGAGAAAAAGAAAAGAGAGAGAAAGAGAGAGAGAGAGAGAGGGGGGGAGAACCAGTGGCGAGATGTTCTGTGCAGCACCCGAGAGCACCGTGCCAGAAGAGATGCTGGCGGGCTGATAGCGGCCGTCAGCCGAGTTATGGGGCAGTCGGCGCCGCTCCGCCGCCCTGACCCCGTTTGGAGCGGTCCAGCCCTCCCACCCCGTCCCAGCCGGCCGGCGGCAGGCGCGCATCACGCAGCCACCGCCGCCGATTGGTGGCCAGCCGTGCTCTGTCGCTGTGGATGTGCGATTGCTCAATGGGTGCAATCTGGTAGAGAATGAACCTAGGTCACAATAGTTACCGAGCATACTAGTCTGGCTGCTGCAGTGCGTGGGTATGGAATGGGTATAATGTTGGAGCGACACACTCAGCCGATGACATGTGAATGAAACAGCGGTCTGAGCGGTCAAAAGCACCGAATATAAGGACAGTTTGTATAAAATGTGACACTGCCTCGATTTGACGTCTGCTGTGATCCTAGACGGCCATCTCCTTCCGTACAGCATGCAATAACCGACATGGAGAAGTTCAATTCTAATGAAGTATCCATGCGTCAATAGTTTAGGCTGAGGGGACTCATCACCTACAAGAACCCGTTCCTGACGTATCGGAGCTCAAATGGCCACGAGTTTCCACCGGCCACGCAGCCTACAGCCGCGGCGCATACACAGCGGCGCGTTCCGGCGATGGAGCCGGCCTTCAGCGCAGCGCCGCCACCGTCGGGCGCGGCGCCGGCGCTGCACCGAGCGCCGGCCGGCCTACCCCACCACGTTTCACGGTGCGGCCGCCGTCGGCGTGCCCCGGGGACGTGCGACACGGCCTGGGCCGGCGCGTGCACGGCCGCCGTGACGTGCCGCGCTGTTGCATGACAAGCGGCGATATGGAGGGGGCCGCGCCCGGCTGACGGATGGTTATGGCCACGGCAGTGCCGCAGCGCTCGGCCGCCGAGGCAGGCGGCGCGACGCCGAATAAAGTGGGGCTGGTCATCTCATCATGTCAGGCAGCGGCTTTTCTGGGCCTGCCAAAGTGAATGGTTCGCAGGGTTACCAGCGCCCACCCGGTCCTGGATGACAAAGCTGGCCACATACTGCGATAAATAACAGAAATGAAATGGTAATTTCTGTAAGCCTGAAAACGTCTTCGACAGCGACACGCGCATAAGCCATCGAGACCCTCTGTTATCCATGAAGTGTTCACTTGGCTGGACACTGTGCCTCACTGTTATCAGCTTTTGACCCATTAAATGGCTGATCAACGGGGCTGACGGGCAGACGGCTGGCATTTACCCTAGTGTAAGGCGGGTGATCGAAATAATCCCGTGTACAGTGGTCAAGAAACCGGCTTCTGTAAAGATGACGGTATGATCAAGCTTATATCTGCACCGACGCCGCACAACGTACCAAGCGCTATCGCGCTGGTCTCTATTGTTTGGACAAGGGGTATGACGTTACCTAGCCCTCTTTACGACAACATGGGGTGACCTAATGCAATGAGAATATGCGTGACTTTTGCCTTTTCTTACCGTGGCTGCAGGAGTATCGTGGCTGTCGGCAAGAGTTTTGTTGACCTGGCCTATATTCTGAAACCCTATTTCTGGTAACTTTGGAGCATTCTCAAGCAACCAAACAACGTGTAGCATTCGTGGAACTGAAACAGTCACGAATCCGCAATACTTTGATCTGTAACTACGGTCTACGGCAAGGAACATGCAAATTATCGGGGATGCAAAAAAACTTCTCAAGAAGGGTGAGGGCTGAACCACTCTTGGAATTCGATTGCTTAATATGCAAAGCCAGAGCCTAAATTTGGACCTGTAAGGAACGTTTCCCGTTCCTACGCCTATGTGAAAAATGGCATTCAAATTTCATGAAGAATGTGACAAAAGCGTCTATATGATTCGACGCCTGTATTTGCCGTCGCCGGCGCCAGGCACGCAGGTCCGGGTAGCTCTTTTCCAGCAGCCGAGTGCCACGGTGAGGTTGCGGGCGCGGCTCCACGCACCGCCGCCGCCGGTGCGCGTCGCCGGACGGGTGAGGGCGCCCGGCCCTTGCCGGCCCCGATCTCCGCCTAGCCGCGCTTGGGAATCCGGGGTGGACGACCGCAGCGTTCTCATTACGCACAGCCCTTCAGCGGCCGCGCCGTTCACGCACAACGGGGTCAGGCCGCGTGACGTCACCAGAGAAGAGGTCCGCGGTGCGTGTGGGGCGACCGGCACACTCTGGCCGCGTTCCGGCTCTGGCTCTCTCCCCTCTCTTTCTCCCTCTCCCTCTCTCCCTCTCTCTTCTATGACGTGATGCGCAACCGTGACGTGATGCGCTTCTATTTGCTCTATGAAATGGATGTGCGCTATGAAACGAACATGCATTTCTTTACTGCCGAGGAAACCCCTGGGGCGGGTAACACAAACTTTCAATTACAAAGGTGACGCAAAGACAGCCGGCTGTTTTTGCGCACAAAGATCCTGCATTATTCTTTTAAACTAATCTGTAAGCTGCAAAGATGTTTGCGTGCAAGTGCATGGTTCCAGAAGGCTGCGATCAACCATAACGAGCCGAACCTAGCTAAACATATCAGCAATGCTTCGCACGTCAAGTATGCGGTATTGCGAGTCACAAATCACAGCGCAGTGTGATGCCCTGAAAGGTAAATCGATGTTAAGCATATACTTTCCTTTAGATCTGCCTGCTTTTGGAACGTTGAAATGAGCGTTAATTCTTACTTGATTTAATCAGCTCTTTATCTATCCCAAAGCTCTCTTCCAGTCAAAATCTCGCTAACTCGTGAGTCGTATGCTTAAGATAGATCGTAAATTGAACTCGGACAAATTCGGCTCCCTTCCTTTTCGAAAAGCTTTTCTCCGAGAGAAAGTCAAGAAAGCATCCCAGAAAATCCTGCATACAGCGCTACGCGTTACAGAGATACGTGTGCATTGTCCTATTAAAAGGAAAATATGTACCTGGAAGCTAAACATCGAACTGTATGTCAGCCTTATTTGGATTTACGATGATAAGAGTCATTCCATCACATGAAACCAATTACGGCATTGCTGGATGTGCCTACCGATCCACCATCGTCTTCCGGCAGTGCTGACACCGTCGTCCTTGCCCCGCAGAACTCAGTGCGACATAACCTGTCGCTACACACACGTTTTGTCAAGGTGCAGAATGAAGGCACCGGGAAGTCCTCCTGGTGGACCATCAACCCGGACGCCAAGACGGGCAAGTGCTCGCGCCGGCGCGCCGCGCTGGAGCCCTCCAAGAGCGGCCGCAAGCGCGGGCGCGCCAAAAAGCGTCCGGAGGCGCCGTCCGGCGGGCCGGACGGCGCGTCGGAGCCGTCCGGTCCGGACGGCCGCTACCTGGAGCCGCCGGCGCTGGCGTACGGTGCGGCGCCCGGCTGCGAGCGGCTGGCAGCCGGCCTCGGCTGGCCGTATCCAGGTCGGCCGGCGTACCAGCCAGACCGGACGGCCGTGTACCAGCCGGGGAGCGCCGGGTACCAGCCAGAACGCTCCGGGTACCAGCCGGAACGCGCCGGGTACCAGCCGGACCGCACCGCGTACCAGGAGACCGAGTACGGACAGGAGCGGCAGGACGCTTACGAGCAGGGTCGGGCGTCGGAACCGACTGCCGGCGGCATGAAGTACGAGCCGGGACTGCCGCCGCCGCCCTATCATGGCCTCAACGGCTACGGCATGTACTGCGGCGGCGGCGGGCCGTTCGCGGCCGACGGCCGGAGGACGGGCGCCCTAATGCCCGGCCCCAGCGGCCACCCCGGCCAAGAGGTGGAGCACCACGGCTACAACGGGCTGCAGGTGAGGTAACAGTCGGTCACGACCGGAGTAAAAAGGAGGGGCCGTGCGTAGCCAACGCACAGAACTTTGTTCGGAAGATGCGAAAATAGGCGGTGTGCTTCGATCCAAATCTTGCCTTTTAGAGTTTGGGCTTGAGTTTGAGCTTATAGTGCTGTTGTTGAGCCCTTCACAGCATAGCTATGTCGAAATCGCCCGGCTGTGGTGACAATACCCTGATTTGTTGACCATATGCAGCTACAGTGCCTCGGCGTCTGCAGCTGCAGAGCCTGCAATACCAGCTGCAGTGCCCCCTTGACCGGCTGCGTTTGGGGCCGCCAGGTGGCGTCGCCGGCGGTCGGCTCGTGCCCGATGTCGCCCGGCCGGTACGCCGCCGCCGAGGGCGCCTACCCGGGTCCGCCGGCCAGCGGTGCCCCGTACGCGCCCTCGCCGGCCGGCGGTGGCCCGCCCTCGGCCGCGCCGTTCGCGGCGTTCGGCGTCGCGGGCGCGGCGCCCGCACCGCTGGCCTTCTCCGGCGAGACGCGGCCGCCACCCAGTCCGTCGCAGGAGCAGACACCCTCGCAGCTCATGTCAAACCTGATGGGCGCCCTGCAACAGGACCCGGCGCTCAGCGCCCTCGAGCTGGACAGCTTCCAGGGCGGTTTCGTCTGCGACGTGGACAACATCATCAAGGAAGAGCTGAGCATGGACGGCAGCCTGGACTTCGCGTTCGGCGGCGGCGGTGGCGGCGGTGCGGCGCATCAGCGCTCGGTGCGTCTGCCGGCCACCGCCGGCACCGCCCGCTTTCACCCGGTCGACGCCCCGCTATAGAGGCCGGCCGCTCCGGTGAGTCGGCGGACGGCGCTGGACGCTGAGGCCTCTGCAGAGTGCCGTGCCGAACGGAGACATTTGCAGAGCCTCATAGGCGTTGGCTTATGGCAGTTGCACTTTGCATTTGCGCTAAAAGTCAAGTTCACTTTTGGTATCTTCCCCGGACAACTTGTCGGTTTTGATCGCCGATAGCATCGATGGTTTAACTGACCTAAATTCACCCTTGTGTATCTCAAGGCCATGTTTTGTGTATATGTGGGGGTTTGATCCGATATAGTCGTCTTGTAAAGAGGGAAACTATATGCACACAACATTACCTCAGTAGTGCCTAAAACGTTCCATTTTCTTGGTCTGAATCAAACTTTCGGCGCCACACTACGTAGAAACAAGAAATGTCGCGTGATCAGAGATGACGACACCGACGGCCTAACGGCCTGGTCACCACCTGGCGCTGCTGGTCGGTGATTGGCTGGATGTGCTACCACGCGCGGTACGACCTGGGAGAGCCTGATCTCTTCTTTCGTAAAGTTGTGGCATTCTCAGCAGATTTTGAGAAACGAAAAAAAGGATGACGACACTGTGTACCTGCTAAATCAAGTTCAGTTCTTTCTCTTGAATCCAATAATGATCGGCATTCAAGCAAATGCGGCTGCAATTAAAATAATCTGATATCACCACGGTCCAGTCAGTTTTCTTGTGTTCAGTTTTCTATTCACTCGAGTCGCATCAGGCTTTTGCTGGCGTAGATGTAGTTTAGCAGGGAGCAATTCAAATCATAAGAGGACATTAAAAAGACGGCAGGGCTTCTCGCGTAACGGAACTAACGGTCAATACAAACGACCCTCGCAAAGTAATGGAGCCTTACGCAGTTCTGCGGGTGCGGGGAACCGGAGAGACCTCGCACTCGGATCAACATCCACTCTGGCCATTTCAAAACAAACAGAGCGATTCTCCAAACGGGCTTTCGCCGGGCCCCGCTCGAGTTTCGGTGTGTATTTTCCGCGCCGTCGGGCGCCGACTGAAGACTGCTCCTCGCCGCTGTCCGGCACGCCCGTTCAGCGCCGGTTTGCCGCGGTATTGCCAATAAAACGCCCGCTCCACTCTGGCGGAGCCTGCGTGAGGCGCTGGAGCGGCTGAGCTGGTCCCGGATGGGGCGCAGCTGCGGGGCGCCGACGCCTGTCAACAGCCACAGCCGGGCTTCTCCTTCCTCGAGTATGCCATCCGCCATGCACTTAACCTTGGATAAACTGGCATTGTTTCCGGCACGCTGGAAATGGTTGTTTTTGGCTGCCCTAAAGCCGATTGAAAGGCAACTAACGCACTTTACAGCAAGCAATGGTTGGCTTCCTATGGGGCATTTTCACAAATGCTGCTTGCTGTTTGGAATATCGTAAGCCGTAGATATACTTAGAACAACAGTGAGGGAACACACGTACCAGATAAAAGTCCGGCAGCTCCCACAAGATAACAGAGTTTAAACATCCAGGGCTGTGCTCTTGCAACACGAAATGCTTCCACAAATCAATGAATTCGTTTGAAAAACGTGGCTGGTACAAACCGCCTTTGATGCAAGCATCTCCACGAAATTTTTAGACGTATTTTCGATTATTTTCAACCTCAAACACCTCGCACTGCATACAACCCTTGTGGAACCACAAGCATCAGTTCCTCAACGCCCTCACAAAGTCAGCTAATGGGCCCGCTCAAGCGTTCTTGACGACCGCTCACCTTACACTAGTGCAATACAAGGTGACAGCGCGACGCCACGGCATCGACAGCTCTGACCAATAGTGCAGCTGCGCGCGGCCCGCCGGCCCGGGCCGCTGGCGGCGCGCCGGCGGGGCCGGCGGGCGCCGAGCCGGGCCGGTTTTTGTCGGCGGGTGCCGGTCCCAGTCGATGCCGGCGGGCCCTGCCGGGCGCCGGTCGAGCCGTGACCCTTCAGGCGGCACGCAGCCGGCCGCGGTATTGATTCGGGTCCCGGCCGCCGGCCGCCCGATCGCTGGTAACGCGGCGCTCTCGCCGCGCCGCGCCATTTCATATTCGCCGCGCGCCCGAGAGCCAGCTTTTGGCGCGAGACTGGCGGCATTGCGGCGTGCCGATGCGTGGCGGCCGAAGGGCGCGCGGCGCTGCCGCGTCAAGGCGCGCCGGCAAACAGACGTGCAAAAACGCACGTGCTTACTCAAAATTTCCAGATTTGCTGTTCGGCTCAAAGATGATCGGTGTGTTGTTCCGTGTTGTGATGAATGCCCGGGGATTTGCTCGAATGGCTGGGGCAGCTTTTTACTGAGAGTCACTTGTTGGCAACGCTGGCATGCATTTGCAACACCGGCAAAGATGGGTGGTGTAAACATACCTGACATTGTCTGCTTTTTGCAATGACATCATAGCTGGTATGCTTCAACGATATACCTAAGACGCAGTTTGGAACCTCTTTCAGTGGTGACAAATGTCATGATAGGAATGTTTTGCCAGATTGTGCACAGTTTGCTTAACCTTAGAATGGCTGAAATCCAAGATATTCAAATTATTGGTTGTGATGAAATGATGATAGAATGATATCTATAATGATAGCAACGACGAAATATATGATCATGCATATGGATATTATAATGACAATCATGATGCTAACAATGTATGTATAAATTATATATGCATACACATATACATATATACGCATATGTAATGATAATCAAACAATGATTAGATGTTTAAATCAGATACCATCAAACATGTGTGGGCGCGTGGATATAAGCCAACCACAGAGACAGATTTGTGGCATGGCTCAGGAATAACCGGTCTATAAGAGCCAAAGGAACGACATTTCATATGGAGCCCCATTAGTTATAAAGTAGTTTTCCATTGGTACCATAGTCATTTGGCTATTTATGAATGATATTTGGGGCGTTTCAGGTTGTGAAATTTAATGAAATGCTCCATCCTCATTCAAACGCATAGTGAAAAGGATGACTATCCCAAGAATGATTATCGTTTAGCCCAGCATTGCATGAAATGGTCCAAACATTTAAGCGCTTCCTCTGAATAATCGCTTCAGTGATTGCGAAGTTGATAAAAAATAGTGTTGCCTCTGTTCTGCGTTGTGATTTGCAACCAACACTCAGTTATCCAGTCAATTTTATCTGCAGCCAACTGCTAGAACCTCAGTCGGACATGGCCCCGGATGGCCCCGGATGGCCCCGGATGGCCCCGGACGGTCCCAGATGGGCGACATGCAAGGCTCAAAAGGCCAACACAGAGCATTGACTGAAACCCAGATAGATAAGGAAGGATAAATGCAGCTCTGTGGAAGCCGCTGGTCCGGTCAGTCTTTTAGCAGGCTTCAGCCATTTTAAAAGAAGAGGCTAGGTGACTGGCCTGTTATCTTCTAACACGTCGAAGTTTGTTTTTTACTTCATGTGGTAAAACGAGAAAGTCGAAGCTGTGTACATTATAGCAACCTTCCCATCTTTATACACGAAAATTGTGTCAGCGACCCGGTCAGTCATCTATTGAAAGACATCCGTTCTGGGACATTACCACACCATCTTTTCCTGGTAGTTTCTACTCTTGTATATCTTGATACCAGCGATATCGATGCATGATATTTGTCGTACCCACATCAATGCAGTATTCTGCACCGGAATGCAGCTTCTACACAGCGCGTGGCTGTATCTTCCGGCACTGTGATGTTTGGCAATGAAAAACTGCATATTGGCTATTGCAGGCGAGTATGATGGCATAAGCGCTCAATGGCGACACAAAAATTGATTCAAACTCTGGTCTGCTTCCCGTGTTCAAAAACCCTGTGCTAAACAGGTGTTCATGATGCGCACGTACTCATCTATCATAATCGAGATCATTCTACTCCATCCGACAATTTACGAACACGTTGTGCGTGCAAGCACTGTCATGTCAGCGCCCTTATGAGCCGTCCTGAAGTCGGATACAACCAATGATCGTCGAGCAGTACGCAACCGCAAGCTGGAGCTGACCAATTATCACGGATCGACCAGGCGCAAGCTGGAGTTGTTAAGCCAATCCATGATGGCAAACCAGATCAGTTCTAGTTTGCAACTGCCGCCTTCTCCGCAGCCTGCTCGAAAAATCATCAGCAATCGGTTTTTTGGTGTGAGCTGGGATGAGCCAATCATGATCGAGCAGCCTACTCCCGTGCACTGCGGCCGAGCAATCGTCGGGTCGCAGGCTATGCGATCAGAGCTCGCCACTATCCGGGACGTGACTAGGGCGGCTGAACTGCAACGTCCGGGACACGGGTGGGCTGGCGAACCGCCACCCCCGCACAGCCAAGGTCGAACCGGCGGAGACTCGTTGGCATGCGGCGCTGGCGGTGCCACGCAACGTCAGAGCCGGACGTCAGAGCCGGGCGTCAGAGCCGGACGGCTTCGCGCTGAGCGGGGCACAGCAGAGCACAGGAACCACAGAAGAGCGCAGGTGTCATAGCAGAGCGCAGAAATCACAGAAGAGCGCAGGTGTCACAGCAGAGCGCAGGCGTCACAGAAGAGCACAGGTGTCACAGCAGAGCTCAGGTGTCACAGCTGAGCGCAGGTGTCACAGCAGAGCGCAGGTGTCACAGCAGAGAGCAGGTGTCACATCATAGCTCAGGTGTCACAGCAGAGCGCAGGTGTCACAGCAGAGAGCGGGTGTTACAACAGAGCTCAGGTGTCACAGCAGAGCACAAGTACGCTTTGGACTATAGATGTCATGCGGATCGTTATGCACGATCCATCTGGAATGCAGACAACATTCACTTAGTGTGCAATATGGGCCGGCGTTTACCATGAAGTGACATGATACGACCCTCCCAACTATCGTCCTGGATCACCAGATATCTGGATCCATCCCCACGCGGCTCTCGGCAACTGGACTATCTCAGCCGGAGAATGCCCCAAGCTATTTAGCTCTGAAGACGGCATGTGGTGAGCGGTCGACAGACTCGTTCGTATCAGCCGTAACATGCTTAGGAACATTTAACCGGACTCATGGCAATTCAGTGCACA